GACGATTCGTCCACCAAGAACTAGAAGGTAAGATGTTTGTACCACCAAGACATGGGACATCTCATTGAAGATTGCAGAGTCTACAAGTGTTTCCTGGAGAAGTTGGTACAAGAAGGACATCTAAAGGAATACATTGGGGAAACAACACCAATGGAGACCCATGGTGTTAATAATCAGGTCGTTGTCTGTAACAATGTCATTGACACCATCCACGTCTGCCCACTAGAGCATCCGATGACCAACACCCACAAGTCCGACCTTAAGAGGGTAGCCTTTATAAGGAAGGTGGATGAGAGAAATGGGGGCTATCCCAGCAAGAGGTCCCGGATGGATTAGGAAGGTATCATTTTCTTTAACACCAACCTGACAGGTGTGGTTCATCCCCACAAGGACACCTTGATCCTAACTTTGAAGATTGGTGACTTTGATGTCAAGAGAGTCTTGGTGGACTCCGGAAGTTCTTCAGAGGTGATGTACCTCGAACTCTTGAAATGCATGGGTCTAGGTTCCAAAGATCTCACCAAAGTCAGTATGTCCCTCGTTGGATTCAATGGCTCGTATGTCTTGCCCTTGGGTAAGATCACACTGCCAGTTACCACGGGGCCCGTTACAACTGACATAGAGTTCGTGGTGATTGACTCCGATTTGCCTTACAATATAATCATGGGACGGGCCTGGTTACATGCGTTTGGGGGCAATACACTCCACCTATCATCAGAAGTTAAAGTTCCCTACCCTTGAAGGACTAATGAAAATCCATGGGGACAAGGCATTTGCCAATAGTTGTTTCTACGCATCAGTATAGGCAGGGGTCACTTCCAAGGAGAAGAAACGAGGCCCAGAGGAAGTCCTAAATAAATAACAATTACAGTCCGGGCAGCTGGGAGTCGACGAGCCCCAGATTGATCCGGCAGACCGCTCAGTGGAGGATCTCTGGTTTGGTACTTCTGGTGAAAGGATGAAGAGAGGTACATCCTGGTCGGCTCCACCATGTCCCCAGCCGAGTAGGAAGAGATGACTACTTTTTTGAGAAGGAATGTAAATGTGTTCACATGGGATGCCACAGAGATGAAGGGCATAAGTCCCGGCGTCATAACCCATAGGCTTCATGTTGATCCCGCTCACAAGCCAGTGAAGCAAAAACCTCGGTGCATGGCACCACATCACGCCCAGGCTATGAACGAAGAAGTAGAGAGGCTCATGGAGGCCAATTCCATCCAAGAGGTGCAGTTCCCAGAATGGCGGTTTGCACAAAAAAAAATGGCAAAAAATGGAGTGTTTGCCTGGACTTCACTGATCTGAACAAGGTTTGTCCTAAAGATGACTTTCCCCTCCCAAAGATGGACTAGCTGGTGAATGCCTCGGCAAGGCACCAACGCATGAGTTTCGTGGATGACAGGGCTGGCTACCATCAAATTCCCCTCCTTTCGCTCGACTAGGAAAAGATTGCCTTCATCACTCCAAGAAGAATTTATTGTTACATGGTCATGTCATTCGGTCTAAAGAATGCAAGAGTTACATACCAGAGACTCATGAACCGTATGTTCAAGCAACAAATAGGGAACACCATGGAGGTGTACATTAATGACATGCTAGTCAAGAGCAGGAAAGGACAATCACATTATGGACCTAGAAAACACCTTCGTCATTCTCCAAGAGTACGGACTGAAATTGAATATGACAAAGTGTGTCTTTGGAGTTGGTTCCGGGAAGTTCCTTGGACAGTTAGTAAGTCGACGCGGTGTCAAAGCCAACCTAGACCAAGTACAAGCCATCATGGATGTATGAAGCGCCCGGACAGTCCAGAAAGTCCAGAGACTCACAGGAATGTTAGTTGCACTAAATCGTTTTATCTCTCGATCATCAGACAAGTGCAAACCCTTCTTTAGGACTATCAGGAGGTCCGGGAAGGATGCTTGGAATCAGTAATGTGAGAACGCTCTCAGTGGCATCAAGGAGTATCTTAGGGTTCTCCCAACCCTGTTTATCCCTGTGAGGGGGGGAGATGTTGCTCCTTTACTTGGCTATTTTAGAATTTGTTATTAGTAGTGTACTAGTCCACGAGCATGAGTGTGAATAGAAGTTGGTGTACTATGTGAGCAAGGCTCTATTGGATGCAGAAAAAAGATACCTACCCCTGAAAAAACTAGCACTAGCCTTGATCACAGCCGCTAGAAAATTGAGACATTACTTTCAAGCACACCCGATTACTGTCCTGATGGATCAACCCTTGACAACTATTCTAAGGAAGACAGATCTCTTGGGAAGAATAGCCAAGTGGGCAATGGAGATTAGAGAATATGATATTTATTACATGCCTCGCACTTCAATAAAGGGGCAAGTACTAGCGAACTTCATAGCAGAGTTTGCCAAAGGGGAGCCGCATCTCCCTTAGACGGAACCCTCCACAAACAGCCAAGAATGCTCCTGGAGTCTCTGAGTGGATGGATCCTCCAACAGTAAGGGTTCGATAATTGGGGTATTGTTAGTTTCCCCGAAGGGATTAGTCACAGAACAGGCCGTTCGATTAGGCTTCAAGGTATCTAACAATGAAGCGAAATATGATGCCCTTATTTCTAGGCTCAAACTTGCCAATGCAGTGGGAGCCACGAAGCTGACCGTCCACTGCGATTCTTTATTGGTGGTCAACCAGATCAACGGGGATTTTGAAACAAGAGACTTCAAAATGAAAGCTTATCACCATGAAGCAATGGACTTACTCCATGGGTTCAAGAAAGTCGAAGTCAAACACGTTTCCTAAGACAAGAACACCCATGCCGATGCCTTGGCATGTCTGGTCTCGGCACTAGATTTTGACACGACATGAAGGATCACAGTGGAATACCTTTCCAGTTCTAATATAGATGAAGCCCCTAGAGTGGCAGTCATCCAGGAAAAGGAAGAGTCCCCCAGCTGGACTGATCCACTACTTAAGTTCCTCATTTTCAGAGAGCTTCTTGAATGACGCAAAGAAGCCAGAAAGATAAAGTTAAGGGCCCCGAGGTTCTAGGCCTCCCCGGATAAGAAGTTGTATCGAAAGTCAATCTCCGGACCATACTTGTTTTGCATCCATCAGGATAAAGTCGAGCCACTCTTGTACAAGGTACATGAAGGCATATGTGGGGGACACTCAGGTGGACGATCCATGTCCCAAGGATATTGGTGGCCGTGAATTCAAAGGAACACGCAAGCTTATGCCAAAAAATGTGATCAGTGTCAGAGGTTTACTCTAGTCATTAAGCAACCAGTTGGAGACTTGCACCCACTAATTAGTCCTTGGTCATTCGCTCAATGAGGACTCAACCTGGTTGGACCCCTCCCAAGGGCTACTGGAAACAAGAAGTTCGTGATAGTAGGGACTAATTATTTCACAAAATGGGTCAAGGTGGAGCCCTTGACTCATATCAGGGACTTGGACACCAAGAAGTTCGTGTGGAAGAACATAGTGACAAGATTTGGAGTCTCTCGTGCACTCGTGTCGAATAACAGGACCTAATTCAATAGCGGACCTTCAAGTCCTTTTGTGAACACCTTGCAATCCAAAACTATTACTCAACACCCTCATACCCTCAGGCCAACGGACAGGTAGAATCTTCAAATAAGACCATCATAAAAGAGATCAAGAAAATGCTGAAAAAGGATAAGGAAAAATGGATGAATGAGCTTCTAAATGTCTTTTGGGTGTACAGAACCACTCCTCAAACCTCTATGGGAGAAACACCCTACACCCTTGCATACGAGGTGGAGGCAATAGTCCCATTGGAAGTAAGCTTCCCTACCACAAGAACGCAAGCTTTTGACGTAGGTGATTAACTCTCAAAAATATTATTTTATTATATTTAATGATTGGTTAATTACATATTATTTGTGATTAAATGTGTTAAATTCCTTGATTTTGTAGTTTAATACTTTTTCTAGTTGTTTGGTTTATTTTGCAGGTAAATTGGTTGATTTAAAATAATAATGGATAAGACAAGTAAATCAATCACTAGAGGAAGAATCACAATGGATAAGAATCTTTGTACCCGGGCTCCAAAGATTTTATGCACGGGATTTAATCTTAAAAGATTTTTTTTGGAAAATAATTCTTCCCAAACCAACCCTAGATTTTCTACCTATACTTAGGATTTATTTAGTATAAATAAGGACTTCATCTATTGAGAGAGGATGATTAGGATTTTTAGGATTAGGATTATTATTCTCTTCCCATATTTTCTTTTCTAGTTTTTGTTTTAGTTCTATGGCTTGCTAAAAGTCCAACTAAAGTTAGGGGAGATACTTACAATGAAACACGGTATTTATTATTAATTCACTTCGCGACAACCTGTACTTGGGTGATCAATTCTAAAGTTGTAGCAGCGGGGGATAACGATAACCAACTCAATTTGGACATGGATCTCATGAAAGAAAGAAGAGAGGTGACTGCCTTAAAATTAGTCAAGTATCAAGAAGGGGTGTCCAGACTCTACAATAGAAAGGTCAGGCCTCGAGAATTCCAGGTAGGTGAGTTGATGCTTAGAAGGGTGGTAAAAAATACTCGAGATCTAGCAGATGAAAAAATGGGATCAAACTAGGAAGGACCATATAAAGTCACGTCAGTAGGAGGCTTTGGGTCGTATAAGTTCGAAGATATGGAAGAAAATCATGTAATTTGGCCTTAGAATGTAATGAATTTGAAAAAAATATTATTTTTGAAGCATAAACTCATCTCAAGTGTACCATCATGGAAGGGTAGTCCCAGAGGTAGAGTCTTACGACTCTTGCCTCCAAATAAACAAAGGAGGCTAGCCTCCTGGAAGGGGCATGGCATCGGTGGCAGAGTCTTAGGACTCTTGCCCCCAAATAAACAAAAGAGTCTAGTCTCCTACAAGGGGCATGGCCTCGGAGGCAGAGTCTTAGGACTCTTGCCCCCAAATGAACAAAGGAGCCTAGTTTCCTAGAAGGGGCATGACCCTAGAGGCAAAGTCTTAGGACTTTTGCCCCCAAATAAACAAAGGAGTCTAGCCTCCTGAAAGGGTCGTGGCCCTGAAGGTGGAGTCCTGAGACTTATGCCTCCACACAAACAAAGGAGCATGGCCTCTTAGAAGGAATATGACCCCCCGAGGAGGAACACTTGTGTCCCATGGAGAAAGGCATGGCCTTAAGAAAAATTCATCCCCAAGGGTACGCAATCCTTCCGAGGATGAGGGTAGCCAAGGAAGACCTCTTCCCTCAAGGAAGGGGACGATCTCTTTTTCAAGAATATATGTCTCGGCCCTGAAGTTAGAAGTTACAAGTAAGCATGTTAGAGAACCAGTAAAGAAGAACGAAAAGGAAAAAGTCAACACAAATGGAATAAAGTTATGTTTCATTCAAAAAAAAATAGGGCTTTGCTCCCCCAGGCAACACAAGTTGCAAAGAGAAGAAAGATTACAAAAACAAGAAAAACCTAAGTCAATGGCGCAGGAGGAGGCCCGTTCATCTCGTCGTTGATGCCAGCACCAACATCTTTGAATAACTCATCGATGTTGGCAGAGAAAGAGTTGGCAGCAGGAGTCTCAGCTTGAAGCGGCAGAGCAGGGGCAAGAGTAGAGATCGTTGCTGGCTTTTGAGCAAGAAGGGCCTAGACATGAGTAATGCCAACTCGGGCCAAGGCTGTAGCATCAGTGGTTGGTGTTAAGCCTGATACTTGGGCATTTGTAGTGTCTTCAGCTGCAACTTAAGTTGAATATTGCACAACCGCCTCGGAAGGGATATACTCATGCTCCAGGTAAAGGGGAGAGTCGATGGGGACACCAACAGCTTTCAAGGCTTCGTCCCACCCTTACTTGAAATACTCTTTCTTTTGGTGCTCGAAGGCCACTAGAATGTCATCAACGCACTAGGCCATTATTTTCGCCCGAGTCTTACTAGCGACCTCCAATGCAGCCCTCACATTATCCAACTCCTAAGTAAGAGTCGAACAAGTCTACTCCTGCTCTGACTCCTTCACCTTAGGCTCAGACGCAGAGAGCTATTTTGTTAACTCCGTTATTTTTTTCTCAACGACGACGAGGGCATCACTTATTTTCTCAGCATTCCCGTTGGCCGCCTCAACCTCCTTCAAGAGTTCGACAATCTGGGCCGTCTAGGAGGACAAAGTCTTATCCTTAGTTACCATTTCCTTCCTTTCTATGGCGAGAGCTCCCTAGGCTTCAGCTCTTTGCCTCTTAGAGTTTTGGAGCCTCTCCCTTTAAGTGTGGAGGCGGCCGACAATGACCGAGATTTGCTGGGCAGTTTGTCAAATGAATAGAATAAGGGTTACACCAATATAAAAAGAAAGAGGAGCTGTTATTGTTGTTGTTGTGGTGGTTGATGTTGTTGTTGTTGGAGGCGTTAACATCAGAGGAGGGATGAGAATGCCCATTCCAAGACTGGGATCGTCGTGCATTTGCTTAGTCCTTCTCTCCTCCTTATGATGGGAATCCCTAGGGTGGCCTTGGCCCCAATCGGTTGACCTTGGAGGAGGAGGAGGAGGAGGAGGGGTGAATAGTCCTTGGTGGTAGAGGTAGGTTATTGGAGCTGGACCCACGACCCCTTCCAGCGGCGAGGGTGGCCCTCTATTTGATGAAGTCCATGGAGATGCGGGGGACGTCAGACATTGCTATTTCAAGTGTGTTTTCTTCGTCCAGACTCTGAAGAATGTTGAAATCTGGCCAAGTTTCCATCTCGGACATGCTAGATTCAACTTGGACTGTGATGGCAGGATCCCTAGCTTCCACCATCACTTTGGTACCTTTCCCAGCAGTGGCTTCTAACTCGGATTCAATAGCCCTGTCTGGGTCCTCCTCCAAGTTTTGCTGAAAGAGCTTTGACTACCTTTAAAGGTCGAATGGATGAGGAGTCTGGGAGTACTTCTTATACCCAGGGCTGTAGCCTAGGAGTATGTGAGCTGCTTGGCCAAATCCGTTGCCGATGTACCCCTAGACGGTGACGACGTCGTCAAAATTGACCAAGTGCCAAGGAGGAGGAGCAGTTTCGACGTTGGAGACTCGTTCACAAAAGAAGAACATCAGAACTTGAGCAAAATTAACCAAGGCAAAGAAAGCTGAGAAGATAGAGGGAGAAACTGACGTACTTGTCGTTCGCCATTCTTTGGGGCACCACAAGTCATCGTACTCGGGGCCGACCCCCCTCTCCCAGCTGCCGCTAAAGACCAATAGATCATCCTTGTACCCTTTGTTCGAATCTAGGAGATGTGTCATAAGGTGCAGGGAGGGATCTCGGGCTTTTAAATAAAAATTTTGTTGGAGCATCACCCTCAGCAAGAAGTAACAAAAGAGGATGTCCTCGAGGCCGAGGTTGACCTCGAGGCGTGCATTTAGGGCCACTACTCCCATGATGATCCTAAATGTATTAGGGCAGCACTGCCCCTGAGAAGAGACGGAATTAGGGTAGAAAATGGAGGAGGAGTGGATGGAGGGAAAATTTGATTTCACCCTCTAGTTGTAGTGGGTTTTGAAGTTAGTAATCTGCTGGTGACCCTTAACTGTATATTTCCTTGGTCTAGTGGGTCCAGCCTCTTTGACCTTTGCGACAGGACGATGACATCTCGACATTTTTTGGAAAGAGGAAAAAGAGACAGAAAGGAATTTCTAAAGATTGGCAATCCTAAGGGACACATAGAGTACCCAATGACTTAAGAGGAACGAATAAAGACACTGGAATGAACAAAAGAAAGTTTGAATGACAACCAGAAAAGAAAAGAAGGTGAAGAAGAAGAGAAAGAGGAAGGAATGAGTTACTCACTAGAAATAGAAGGCATTAATACAAAGGCTTGAAGTTTTCTTCTTTGATAGTGAAGAAAACGGCAGCTGTTCAGGCAATCAGCAACTCTTCTAGTGAATTTCCGACAAAAGTCTCTGAGTTGGCTAAGGAGTCGAAATTGGGGTAGGGGAGACTGGGGTCTGTTTATATAGAGCCAATCTCCATCATTACGTATGAGACACGAGAAAGGGTGCATTCAATGTGCACGACCTTCGAAGGTGGGATTGCAGCTGCACGGTGATGGAGTGGTTGAGACCTTTCATCTCTTGAAGTCACATCTCCCTCGTCGTACGAAGATCATGGGTTGGGGGCAGTTGATGGGACATTTCTGAGAAAGAATAAAGATTTGACACGTATCCTCAGCACCAAGGACACCTTAAGCACTCTAGTGAAGACACGTGCTCGGCACCGAGGACACCTTTAGCTTTCTGGTAAAGACACGAGTCTTCGGCACCGAGGACACCTCCAACTCTTTAGTGAAGACACGTGTCCTCGGCACCGAAGATACCTCCAGTTTCATGTGATGACACATGCCGCCCACGTGATTGGATCTCGAGGACCCGTTTGGACACGTCACCTAAAGCTCCAAGGTAGATTATTGACAATTGTAGCAGATTGAAATCAGAGTTAGACAATGAATCATTGAATTGCCTTCCCAATGAAGTGGTAGAATGGACAAGATCAGCAACCAAGGGAAGTTAAACACGTGGCATGATGCACTGGATTGGGGGTAAATTAACAAGAATACCCTTGCTGGCATGCAACCATCTCAGTAGAACATTCAATGTTCCTTTAGGAGGATAAGACATTTTCACTGTCAAAGGACCTTGGAGAAAAGAACATTGAATGCTCAGACACCCGAGCACATAATGATGAGTTGACCTCCCACATAAGGTAAAAGGCGCTCTGTCCAAAGACTGTTCACCCCACCTGCTGCTTCCCACATAAGCCAATGGGGATCTCTTCTTAGAGGGACCCATTTGCCAGTAATGATGACCTGCATGGAAGGTATAAATAACAATCATAAATGTAAGGCAAAGGTACAAAAACTAATCCCAAGACACAAAACAGTTTTTTTCTTTCCCCTCTCTCACGAACTGATTTGATCATCTGAGGGGATACACCGAAAACACCCTGGCACCATTCTAACTCTTCTTTTGAGTGCCAGGAACCGTCTTCAGCTCATCGGAATCTATCGGACATCCTTGAAAGTAATTCATCACCACTTCTTGGGTCCTCTTGGGCCTCCATTTGCCACGGGATCGTCGACTTTTTAAGTAAATATGAGTTCACTAAGGGAGAGAGTCGTATTTTTGTTTATTGTGCGAAAATCACCACGCACAAATACCATAGTTTTTCAAACCGACTCGGACATCAACTTGACAAAGAAATCATCTCATTGGTTCAACTCGAACCGATCATAAAATTAAAATTTTTAAAAATAATTATTAGCCTTCCTTGGTGCCATTACACGGATCACCCTTGTCTCGGGATATTGTCGACAAAAAGACTCTTGTGCCTCATGGGCATCTTACACCTGTTGTTCTTACTAATAGAGTTATATACTAAAAGCTAATTTTTTGTAATGAAATTCAAATTATTATTTAATAAAATTTCTTCATTTTCTATTGAGAATCTGTATAGGTAAAATGTTTGCATTATATTAAATACATGTTATGCATGTTTGTCTTTTATTTTACATTATAGATAATCTGGTGTGTAGAGTTCAACTTTATACATAGAAGATAAGATTTTCAAATCATTGTATGATATGAGTAAAGATTCACAACCTTAAATGGAATAGGACACACAATCAGTAGGATAGTAGTACAATCTTTTGACGTTGTCTGTCTTGGCTATATGAGACTGTCTGATGTCTTGGATTATTGCATTAGTACACTTTTTTGTATTGAATAAGACCATTATTGAGGTTATTTTATTTTTACTGACTAAATAAGAAAATAAATACTTCATGGTTATTATGATTGATTAATCTCTTAATCCTAAGATATTTAATTGACACGGGTATTTTATTATTTTTACATTAATTCATCAAAGAGTGAGATTCATTTGAGTCGACAAAATTGGTGAATTGAGAGATGACATTATTTGTATGCTGAAAATTAATTATTAAAGAGAACCATGTTCCATTATTTAAATGGGTTAATGATATCCTCTTGAGAAGCTTATAAGTTTTTTTCATGTCAAACCTTGCACGTGGATTGAATTATTCAATATGAAAAATAAGTTGAATGGTAAGATCTCAAAGATAAAAATAAGTTAATTAAATATAGTTGTCAGTAATTTAGTTAATTGACAGACATCTATAATCTTAAATATGGAGAGATTATTAAACATATAATAATAAGGAGCTTGAAAGATAATTTTGAGATAAGACCTAGGAGATCAATATTAAGTTTAGTGAACTAACTTATTATTAATAACTCGTAGTATGTTTGTTCTAGGTTGGA